GTGATATGGTCTGTTGATGCGCTGCGTTCTGCTCGCGGAGTAGATTTGTACGTCGGCTAGATTTGCTGGTTGATAGCCGTGATTAGCTGTTCAATGTGCTATCAAATCCAGCAGATGTCGCCATAATATTCCACATCAGGACTGAACTAGAGCATTTCGCGGTCGCCTCACTGCGACAAGGGTGAGATTCGAACTCACGCGGGTAGAACCCAGCGGCTTAGCAGGCCGTCGCCTTAACCACTCGGCCACCTTGCCAGCGGATTTTATGCTGATGCCCCTGGGTCGGCCCTTGCTATCCTCCGTCGCTGTACTCCTCTCCCCTGTTGCCTCGTGTGCCTCTTGATGTAACATCCTGATGAGCCCTTCGGTATCTCAATAAAAAATCCTGGTAACTCCCCTGTGGTCGACACCCGGGCCGCCGCGGCGGCTTTAAATCTGGACTGGGGATTAACGTGGGCGTTTTTTGAATTTATCTACCACTCCAAAAATGCAACAGTTGAGCAACGAGGGCGCGTGGGCGCCTTCCACCACATACACGTGTTCCGCGGTGGTCTCTTCAGTGACGCTTAGTGTAGGAAGTTCAGCCTCCCCGTGGTGAAGTTCAATCGAGCGCTCACTCCGTTCGCTGTGGTCAACCTGAGCGTCGATGACCTTGGTTACCGCAACGTCCATTGCTGCCTCCACAGAGTCGTCCACAGAAATCTTGCTGCCAGTCAGACTGACAGTCTCGCTGGCAGTCTCGCTGACAGTCGCGACAGGATCAGAGGAAGCGTCTGTCGGCAAAGAGCCCGTGTCCTGGACTGCGGGTGACTCTTCCAGCGAACTGCCCAGGGAGCTGAGCAAGATCTCTTGAGCTGCTTCGTTGTGCAGGTCGTCATCGTCGTGGTGCTCGGACTCTTGGGAGTCTATCTCGCTGGCTGTGCTGCAATCCTCCGCCATCAGCTTACCTACTGCGTACTCTTCGTCTCTGGCCACTGGTCCGAAGGCATCGGCACGCTGAATGGCAGCAGGTTCGGTCGTTCGTGGGGCAGAGATACGTGGGGTAAGTATACGCGGGGTAGGGGTACGGGCAGGGGGACTGAACTCTTCGGCTTTGTCAAAGCCCGTGCTGACCGTCTCGCCGTTCATGCCAGGAGCGTTGACACTAAGCCGTCGTCGAGGGTGCTTCTTTTCCGTTTTTCCAGGCCGAAGTGCAATCTCCGGTTGAATAGCAGCAACCTCCGACTTCGACTTAACACCCTTCGTTCGCGGGGCCGCCTCAGATCGAGAAGCCGCCTCCTTTTGAGGAACAATCGTCTCCTTGGTCGTGGGACGAACCTTTCCTGGCTTCCCGCAACACCCCATTTAAAATTCAACAACCGGCGCCAGTCGTTCCTCCCCCTCCCCTCAAAACTGATTTCTCAGCGTCAGGCCCTCAGCGTCGAGCCTTCAGCGTCGAGCCTTCAGCGTCGAGCCCCCCGCGTCGG